GATTGATTGATTGATTGATTGATTGATTCATTGATTCATTGATTCATTGATCGATAAGTTTCCTGATTTCCTGACGGCTCTGTTTACACCTGGACTCATCACTTCCCTCCGGTTCTGGTGTTGTTAGAACCGAACCTCCGTTATTCGTGAGTTGTTTTAAACTAAAAAACAAAACAAGTCATTCTAAGAACCGGAAGTTGACTCTGAAGTAAAGTACCACGCTGTCGCCTTCAAAATAAAGGTTCGGATTAATTCTGGACGCTTTTGTCCCGTCCCGGTTCGGTTGAACGGGATAAAAGTGAGAATGGGAACCCAGCGGTACCGGTCCGGTCCGAACTCACCCGTTTCTCGGAGCTGTTCTTCTTCATGCCGGCGGCTGTCAGGCTGTCGGTTCTTCTCTCGGGTCTCCGTTGTTTGTCCGACCCGCGGAGGAGACGATGAAAGACGGTAAAGTTCGGCAAGAAGACCCGGAGCCTCCGCCGCTCCTCGGTGTGACTGAATGGACCGGGTCNGAGACTTCCTGTCAGACTTCCTGTCAAAGACTTTCTGTCAGAGACTTCCTGTCAGACTTCCTGTCAAAGACTTCCTGTCAGAGACTTCCTGTCAGAGACTTCCTGACACGTCCTGTCAGAGACTTTCTGTCAGAGACTTCCTGTCAGACTTCCTGTCAAAGACTTCCTGTCAGAGACTTCATATCTGGACCCAGACCATCAGCTGTCCTCCCGTCTCGTTACCACGGAGACGGCAGAAACAAACTCTGCATGCTCAGACACAAATCTTCTGATTTGAGAAACAAATTTAATTCAGATGCAAAATAAAGTCTGAGACTCAGACTGTCTGGTCCTGTTGGACCCGAGTCCTGGTACCAGACCGAGGGACAGGGGTGGGGCTGGGTTCCTCTGGTTACCATGGAAACCTGCTGCCAATGTCCTCATTCAGGAAGGAGACACGTTCTTCTTCCTGTCTGTGAGAACCGTCACCAAGCCTGGCCCGGTTCTTACAGAACCTGAAACCGGGTCGATCAGAACTGAACCTGAATGCTAGACTTGACTCTGCAGTTGCTGTGTGTCTCAGAGATGGCCAGAGAGCTGAGGACAGAGAGCTGAGGACAGAGAGCTGAGGGCAGAGAGCTGAGGACAGAGAGCTGAGGACAGAGAGCTGAGGACAGAGAGCTGAGGACAGAGAGCTGAAGACAGAGCTGA